GTGCAGGGGAGGCTCGTAGAATTTTAGGGGAAGATGTGGAAATGTTCTTCTGGTAGCATCTATTTTCCTTGTTCAACTGAAGCATTATCACCAGAGAATGTTGGTTTTCAGCAAGAATGCTTCAGCAAATATTTAATAGGCTGTTGACTATGACAGTCTGGAGTTCAGGGAAGTCTGGGGTGGAGCTAGTAATTGAGGAGACATCAGCAAGCAGATAGTTTTGAAGCTATAGACCCAGATGAGAATGCATGGATGTAGAAGAGAAGTGGTCTAAGACTGAGTCTTGGGTATTCTGTCAGAGAGATAAAGAGGACCCAGACAGGAGAAGGACATTTTGGAAGGGTAAGCAACAAGAGGAGGCATGAGAGAGGAAAGCAGGAGAGCGAAGGGGTTAGGGGAGCGTGGTGAGGAGGGTAGCAGGACTGCTGTTCTCTCTTGAGGCTGGGACCCAGTCATAAATTTCAAGCAAGCCAGTCAGCATGGGTGTGTATTTTCTCCAACTATGTTCAGCCGCTCAGGCTCAGTGTAGTCCAGTGGAGAGCTGGATTTAAACTGGGTCAAGGAAAGAGGAGTCGGTGGCTGCAGAAGAATGTTTAAGAGGATGGAGCATGATCTTTCAGTCCAGTGCAGTGAAGCTGGGGAATCACTGACATCAGAGAAAGAGTTGGAGGTAAGAGACGGAAAGTGGGATCCAGGCCACTGAGATTATGAAGGGGGTACAGCCATTGCTAATAACGATAACTAGGATATAATAAGGGAATGCATGACTGAGGTGGGGTGCAGGACAAGATCATTAGAAGAGAGAACTGAAGAGTCTCTATGTAGCTATTGAAATCACTAGAATTATGAAAGGGGTGGTATCGGGCTTCGATAGTGAGTAGTGCTAAAATACTTGATGAAGCAATGGGGCTCAGAAGATGACTTCAACCAGAAGGAGCAGGTTTGCCAGAAGGAACAGTGATATCTGGAAGTAGCAATGAGAGTCAAGAACACCTGCACCAACTCCCAGGCCCTGGGGTGTGAAGGGTGCAGCCAAGAACATGTAGACCACTAGAGGGTGCTGTGCTCAGGCCAGAGTGTAGGTCTCAGTCCCCTGATCTTCATGAGATGAGAACGGAAGGGACTCACCTGAAGAGCTTTCGAAATAAAACGTATGCCCAGCCCCTCCCAGATCACTTAGATCCGAATCTCCAGACATGTATGTGCGCTCCTATTTCTTCATGTTCTAGCCACCATTTGATATGATGAGATGTTTTAAATTTTGTCCACTTTAGGGGTGTATAGTAGTGCCTCCTGGCTGTCTTAATTTGCATTTTCCTATGTTCTAATGAGGATGCATACCTTTCCATGTGTTAGAGGTAGTTTTGTTGCCTTTTCTGTTATCCGTCTGTTGATATCCTTTGCTCACTTTCCCCCATGGGGGTTGTTAGTCATTTTAAAATTGATTGGTAGGAAACCTTTATGTATTTTGTACATTAACCCTTTTGTGATTATACATGTTGCAGATACCTTCTCCCAGTCTATGGTTTGTCTTTTTTTAATTCAGCAGAGAAGTTTAGGTTTACTGTCAATACTTAATATATAAATTATCAGAATTGTTTTGAGATGAGTCTCACTCCGTTGCCCAGGCTAGATGTAGTGCAGTGGGATCTCAGCTCACTGCAACCTCTGTCTCCTGGGTTCAAGCGACTCTTGTGCCTCAGCCTCCTGAGTAGCTGGGACTACAGGCACCCACCACCAGGCCCAGCTAATTTTTGTGTTTTTAGTAGAGACATGGTTTCACCGTGTGGGCCAGGCTGGTTTTGAACTCTTGACCTCAGGTGATCTGCCTGCCTCAGCCTCCCAAAGTGCTGAGATTACAGGTGTGTAATCTCAGTCTTATCTCTGTCGAATGTGTAGCTTATGATATTGATAATTATCACAGAACTTATTTTAAAGCTGTTGGTGGGCACAAATATTTATTTATTAATTGTCTGGGGAAAGACAAATAACATTTTTTAAAAAGTAAAAATCATCAAAATAATGTGTTGTCTGTGTCTGTATTGGGACAGTATATTTGCTGGCCTTTGATTATGTTTATGATACTTATCCCACTGTGACACTATTTTTAAAAAATTAATATGTATAGTAAAAAAAGTAATATATGTGTTATACATATAAAAATAATATATATAGTAAAAAAAAATTTAAACAGGAAAAAAAAGCATAAAATGGCGAAGAGGCTGGGCAGGGTGGCTCAAGCCTGTAATTCCAGCTCTTTGGGAGGCTGAAGTGGGAGGATTGCTTGAGCCCAGGAATTCCAGACCAGCCTGGGCAACATGGCAAAATCTTGTCTCTGTAAAAAAAACATATATAAAAATTATCTGTACATGGTGGTGCGTGCCTGTGGTCTCAGATACTTGGGAAGCTGAGGTGGAGGGATCACCTGAGCCGGGGAAGTCAAGGCTGCAGTGAGTTGTGACTGTGCCACTGTACTCCAGCCTGGGCAACAGAGCAAGACCATGTCTCTCTCTCACACACACACACACACACACACACACACACACACACAAAGGCGAATAATTTCTTTCTCTTAGTTCTCCTGCTCCAAGGTAAACATTTCTTATGTATCCTTTGAGAAAAAAGATTCATATGCCTGTATCAACATAACTTTGTAGACCCTTGTATTAAGTTTCCTGTAGCTACCATGACAAGTCATCACAGTCTTTGTAGCTTATAACAACAGAAATTTGTTCTCTCAAAGTTCTGAAGGCCAGAAGTTCAAAATCAGGGTGTTCATACGGTGATGCTCTCTCCAGCCTCTGGTGGCTCCAGGCATCCCTGGCCTTGCCTTGTGGCTGCAGCACCCCAATCTCTGCCTGTGTTTGCAAATGCTCCGCTTCTCTCTGTGTCTCTCTGTGTATGTTAGGAGGACACGGAGTGTCTTATAAGGCAGCATGGTGTGATGATTAAGTGCATGGGCACTGGGGCCAAACTGCCTCGGTTCGAACCCCAGCCCCACCACTGACCAGCAGTGCAAGCTTGAACCATTACCCAGCTGCTCCTGCCCCGGTGCTAAGTGGAGACGGTGTGACAGTACTTATCTCATAGCACTTTAATGAGGGAATGCTTGGAAAGTAGTCATGGCAATGCCTGGCAAGAAGATAACCTATGTCAATGTGTGAGAGACTAGAGTTTATACAATTGATGTCATACTCTCCTTATGGTTCAGCACCTTGATTTTCTTCCTTCCTTCCTTCTTTCTTTCTTTCTTTTTTTTTTTTTTTGAGACGGAGTTTCGCTCTTGTTACCCAGGCTGGAGTGCAATGGCGCGATCTCGGCTCACCACAACCTCCGCCTCCTGGGTTCAAGCAATTCTCCTGCCTCAGCCTCCCAAGTAGCTGGGATTACAGGCACGCGCCACCATGCCCAGCTAATTTTTGTATTTTTAGTAGAGACGGGGTTTCACCATGTTGACCAGGATGGTCTCGATCTCTTGACCTCGTGATCCACCCGCCTCGGCCTCCCAAAGTGCTGGGATTACAGGCTTGAGCCACTGCGCCTGGCCCTATTTCTTTCTTTCTTTCTCTTTTCTTTCTCTTTCTTTCTTTCCTTCCTTCCTTCCTTTCTGCAAGAAGATAATTTATGTAAATCTGTAGTAGACTAGATTTTATACCATTGATGTCATATTCTCCTTAAGGTTCTGCACCTTGATTTTCTTTCTTTCCTTCTCTTTTTTCTTTTTTGCCAGAGTCTTGCTCTGTTGCCCAGGCTGCAGTGCAGTGGCACACTGTCGACTCACTGCAAACTTTGCCTCCTGATTGTCCTGCCTCAGCCTCTCGAGTAGCTGGGATTACAGGTGCCCACCATGATGCTCAGCTAATTTTTCTACTTTTAGTAGAGACGGGGTTTCGCCATGTTGGCCAGGATGGTCTCGATCTCTTGACCTCGTGATCCACCCGCCTCAGCCTCCCAAAGTGCTGGGATTACAGGTGTGAGCCACCGTGCCCGGCCCTCTTTCTTTCTTTCTTTCTCTTTCTTTCCTTCCTTCCTTCCTTCCTTTCTGCAAGAAGATAATTTATGTAAATCTGTAGTAGACTAGATTTTATACAGTAGATGTCATAGTCGCCTTAAGGTTCTGCACCTTGATTTTCTTTCTTTCCTTCTCTTTTCTTTTCTTTTTCCTTTTTTGCCAGAGTCTTGCTCTGTTGCCCAGGCTGCAGTGCAGTGGCGCACTGTCGACTCACTGCAAACTTTGCCTCCCGATTGTCCTGCCTCAGCCTCTCGAGTAGCTGGGATTACAGGTGCCCACCATGATGCTCAGCTAATTTTTCTACTTTTAGTAGAGACGGGGTTTCATCATGTTGGCCAGGCTGGTCTGAAACTCCTGACCTTTGGTGATCCTCCTGCCTCAGCCTCCCAAGTGCTAAGATTGCAGGCATGAGCTACCATGCCTGGTCTGCACCTTGATTTTCTTCACTTCATAGTGTGTCCTGAAATCTTTATGCCTCAGTATACAAAAAAGCATATGATTTACATAGAATTCCAAACTCCTTACTATTAGGACTTCTCTTCTGTATCAGTCACTACTCCAGCCCCTTTAAATTCATCATCTTTCCTAAAAGTACTCCCATTTTGTGGATGAACAATGGAGGTTAAGGAACTTGTCCCAAGCCTCACAGTAAGTGGCCGAGTAGAGAGTTCGGCCCAGTACTGTCTGTTTCTTTGATTGCTTAACTGTCATTGCTGTCCTCCCTATTACTTGATTTTTGTGTTTTTGTCATCCCCTTGCAGACATTTCTGAGTTATGACAGCCTTGACAAGAATAGTCTCCTGGTTCACGAACGTCGGTGTTGTGATGCAGTCTCCTAGAGAGACACGTCAGTGTGCCCAGATCTGCAGTGAAGGTTGTGTGTTTTCTTAAGATTTTCGTCTACGGTTACTTGAAATTCCCTCAAAGCCACACCCAGCCCCTTTCCTTGGCTTGTTTCACAAATCTGGTTTCCCAGGGTCACAGATACCTGCTGTTTTCTAGCTGTCTGTCTCCTTTTGCCAGTGGAGCAGAGACCTATCCACTCGTCACTGAGCCTCTCCAGGCCTGAGGAGACTTCCTGTTATGTTTGATGAGTAAGGATGAATCATAAGAAGCTGGCCTTTCTCTTCCTCCTGAAAGCAGAAGTGATTCTTACTGAGATGTCCAACTTTGTCATTAGCCAAATTGTAAGATTTTAACTTGTTTTTTTATTTTTAATTTTTAATAATGACGAGATCGTGCCAGACAGTGAGATTAATTATAGAATGATTGTTTCGCTGATGCCGTCTGTTCTTTGCAGAACTTCAGTTCGGTGAGAAGTCTGGGGAAAAGGTTTTACTAGCCACCAGAAGTCTCTGCTTAACCAGACACTTCTGGTAATCACTCTTTGTTGATGTCATTCTGAAATTCTTCTAAATGGTCTTTAGAAAATTGATTTTTAAATTGGTCCTGCAGTATATCAGTGTTATTTATTATTCGTAAATTAAAATCTAAAGCATTTAACAACACCAAATGTTGATCAGAATATGGGTGTTATTCCTCCTAGATATGGCTAAATATGTAGCCATAAATATGTATCAATTAGTAAACTTTCCTTAGAAGTTGATTAAAAAAAAAAAAAAACCCAAATTGTGGAGCTATACTTGTTTTATTTTAAAGTACCCCATCCAGCTAAAATAATGCTCAAAATCACTTGATAATGGTAATAGCAATTGTTCTTGAAATGTTAAATATGGTGATATTAGAAAACAGGCTGTTTAAAACAACTTTCCACTCGGGTAACAAATGTAATATCCAGGCTGCAAACTCTTACAGAGAAATATTACCTTAGAAAAATATTTGTCTTCACATTGAAATGTTTGTAAGTTGTTTACTCACATGAATTAGAAAAGTCGATTGCTGGTTTAGTCTGTAGCCCAGAAAAACCTGCTAAGTCACAAACCTCCTGACCTGTGAAAGGGAAATATATAGGTAGGAGTAATTCCAGTATGGGCCAACAGATGGCACCAATCTGCTTCTAAGGTATCGCTTTACTTAATTTCAAACTAAGGACTTGTATTTGTCAAGCATTTACCATTGTGTTTCCGTGCATTTACAAGTTATTTCTCTTCTTCTGAAAAAGAGATCTTGGTAAGTAAAAAGACTTCTGTGGTTTTTTCACATTATGGCACAGGTGCTTCCAAATAAGCAAGTTTGCTAACTATTGTGTAGGAGATAGGTAATGTTTCCTTTTTGCCGGTCCTTTTGCAAAATGGTTTGAAGTGGTTTCTTTTCGCAGATGTTGCAAATGTCCTTTGAATTTCACAAGCAGATAAAGCGTGTCTTTACAGCTGTCTTGAAAAGGTAGAAAACAACTAGCACTCGTGATAATTAAGAAAAAAAACTAACTCATGTTATTTATTTCTTCTGCTTTGGTGTAGTCAATGTGCTCTTTTCTTCTTTCTCTAGTTTATTGTTTTCAGAAACATTTAATAGTATTTTATATATACCACTGAAATGGTACCTATATATGATATGTTTTTATAGCAGTCATGTGTTTGATCCGCCTTGTCTCTTGGTACTGCGATAGTTTGCTGGTCTGTCTGTCACTAATTCATAAGCTTTTCGAAAGTAGGAATTATGTCAGTCCTATTCATATTTATATCCCCAGTGCCTAATGCCTAGCATGACTCTGGCAGAAAAATAGGCTCTGAATAGACATTTATTAAATGGAGGAAGTGGCCGCAACCAAGCCCTTCCCGACCTTGAATCTGGCACAGTCTAGCAATTGCCTTCCTCCAGGTCCCTCACCTTAAGTTTGACAAATGCAACAATGTTTCTCTTGTCTATTTGTTGATTATGTGATCTTTCCTTTACTTATCTCACTTAATTCTGTTTTCTGATGGCTTCTTCTTTTGTAGTTTTAATTTTCCTAGGTCTTGTCTACCTTTTTTTTTCTGAAATACAGTTTTTTTCATCTTTTACCTCACCCTTTTCATTTGATGCAATTAAAAAATAAACGGCTTTTACCTGTTTATATCTTTTTTACTTTCTTAAAAAAAAACTATGAACTCTCTAATCTTCCACTCTCATCTTCCCATGTTTCCTCTGTTTATCACCCATAAATATAAAAGTTACTGTTTTGTTCATTTCGTGTATACACTAGGAAGTGCCTCAGAATATGAACGCCCCTGGAGGAATATTGTGTCTTTGGAGCAGGGTGCTGTAAGGACAACTGATCAGCTTTTCCACCTGGTGGCTGAATTTCAGTCCCATGAACCCAGACACCGTGGGTCTGGGTGCCACGGACCTGCAGGGTCGGTCCTCATCTGTGAATGTCAGTTATCTACTATTATCTGAAAGTTCTCTGTCTTTATATTTTAATATTCCGAATAAAACAACCATGTTTCTTTTACTTTCTTTTTCTTTCTTTTTTTTTTTTTTTTTTTTTTGAGTCTCTCTGTTGAGACTGGAGTGCAGTGGTGCGATCTCCGCTCACTGCAACCTTCGCCTCCTGTGAAGTTCAAGTGATTCTCCTGCCTCAGGCTCCCGAGTAGCTGGGATTTACAGACATGTGCTGCCATGCCCTATTAATTTTTGTATTTTTATTAGAGACCGGATTTCACCACGTTGGCCAGGATGGTCTCAATGTCTTGACTTTGTGAGCCCGCCTTGGCCTCCCAAAGTGCTGGAATTACAGGCGTGAGTCATTGTGGCCAGCCCGCATGTTTCTGTAAAGATAAAATATAAAATACTTTTACACAGCTATAAAGACAACGCTTAGATTGTCTTAAGATAACTTTTATGGATTATAAAATATGTTCATAATGAGACATTTTAAGGATTTGAAAGTATAAAAAAATTAAATTCATCTGTAATTCAGAGATTCAGAAAACTACTACATTTGATATATTTCATCACATTTTTTGTCCTCTAGACTTTAGGTATGTAATGTTTTAATCATATTTTGCAAAATTAGAGTCCTACTACATATATAATTATGTATTACTGTATTCATTTAACATTATCATTTTTTCAAAGTATAATATTTGAGGCTGCATATTATTTAATTATGTATAACTGATTTAACCATTTTCTACAGTAGAGATTCTGATTGTTTCAATATTTTATTATGTCATGAGTATTCTTATAGTCATATCTTTTGTGTGCATTTTTGACTATTTCTTTGGAAAATTCCTTGTAGTGGAATTGCTAAAATAAAGGGAGGTATATATTTAAGATTTTATAGAAATTACCAAATTGTCCTTTAGAAAGGTTGTACTAATTTTTCATTTCTGCCTAAGTAGTAAGTGAGGGTTCTTATTTTAGTTTCCACCTACCAACCTGGATATTATATTTTTTAATTTTTCTGTTTGATAGGTGAAAATAAAATCTTGCCTTTTATAAAATCTTTGAAGAAACGAGAATCCTCCTTTGACTCCCTTTATCTTTTTATACTTAAATATCTTACAGTAAAAATTACAGGCATTCTGGAAACCTATTTCTAAATGCTTTATTCTCTATCTCTAAAAAAATTACATTTTCCTAAAATAGCCAAATAACATTATCAAACATTAAAATGTATTTCTTAATAGCATCTAATGGCTGGGCTGTCATGGAACCTGCCCCTCCTCCCGTTAATAAATATGTTTTTTAGCAAGTCTGTCTAACTGAGATCTAGTCCAAGATCATGAGTTTCATCTAGATGTTATGTGCTTTTTTGTTTTCATATGCAGTTTTATTTTTTGTGAGATTGGACACTATTCATTTTATTGGCAATTTATTTTTTGGTAAATTATTCAGTAAATAATATAGTCAACTTAATTTTGAATGTTGAAAGTTTGAAAAATCTAGATAAAAACTAAGAGGAAAACAAAATTCCATTGTGATCTTACTGTGCAAGGATAATCACTGTTTGTATCTTGGCATGTATCTTATTAATTTTTCTACACCCATAGGTACATATTTACTTTGGTACTTTTTAAATAAACTGCTTTATGTCACTTACGTGAAGTGAAAATTTTTTCATGCAATTCGATTTTTGTTATTTTTAAAGGCTACATAGTACTATTTAATTATACAGTAAATCTAAAATTTATTAGATAATCTGCTACTTTTGGATAATTGAGGGATTTTTTTCAAAATAGAATTTATTTTTACCAGGAGCAGTGGCTTGTACCTGTAATCCCAGCTCCGTAAGAGGCTGAGGTGAGAGGATGGCACGAGCCCAGGACCTTAAGCTATGATTGTGCCACTGCACTCCAGCCTGGCCAGTGGAACAAAACCCCATCTCTTTAAAAAAAAGTGTTTAAGAAAATAATAATGATAATAGTTTGTTTTGTGCCAGCCACTTTATTATATTCTTTTACTTGTGCTAACACTTTTTCAGTGACTTCTGTTTGGTTTTCCACATTGACAGTCTTATCTTCTGAAAATAATGATGATTCTCTTTCTTCATTTAAACGTTTCTTCCTGTTATTTTTTATTCTTTATTGCAGTGGCTAGAACTTCTAAAAATAGCCATGTGTGCACTCTTGATGTTGACTTTAGCAAGAATGCCTTGGGTGGGATATTGATCAAAGTTAGGTATTTGAGGTATTCTTTATTTTGGAAACAGAGGCTCACCCTGTCACCAGGCTGGAGTGTAGTGGTAGAATCTTGGCTTACTGCAACTTTGGCCTCCTGGGTTCAAGCCATTCTCCTGCCTCAGCCTCCTGAGTAGCTGGGACTGCAGGTGTGTGCCACCATGCCCAGGTAATTTTTGTATTCTTAGTAGAGATGGGGTTTCACTGTGTTAGCCAGGATGGTCTTGGCCTCTTGTTCACCTGCCTTGGCCTCCCAAAGTGTTGGGATCACAGGCGTAAACCACCACTCCTGGCCTGAGGTATTCTTTATCAAGTTTTCAAAGTATCTTTTAAATATCTAGTTTAAAGTTGTATTTTTATTCAAAGATGAGGACTGAATTTTATCAAGTGAATTTCTCACCTTTTTGAGATGCTTATCTATTTTTCTTGTTTTACCTACTCATGTGAATTATTGTTACAGACTTGTTAATTACAGACAATTTCTACAATTCCAGAAACATCCTAATTACTCATTGTGTTATTTCTTCAGGACACAGCTAGATTGATTGGAGTTTCTTTATCCTGAGCTCTATCCCTTCCCTACAAATGACTGAAATTTATTCCTTTCATTTGTATTTTCTCAT